ACTTCTCTTCTTCCTCCATGTGGAAGCTCCTAAGGCTCCTCATGGCATTTTAATATTTGAAATGTACAAGAGCCCCCATTTGGGGCTGTTGTGCATTTCAAAGTGAAAGTGCTGCATGAAGCCTGGGGTCAGCACAGAACTCCCTGCTAGCCCCGGGCTCCGTGCGGTGTTTGAATCTTTGAAATGTACATTTCAAAGGAAGAACGTGTGCTAGTCCATATTGACTAACTGAATAGTTGATGGAAATCCCATCGACTATTCAATTAGTTAGTTAATCGATATTTAACATCCCTACTTCATATTTCCTGGATTGTAGACTCTCCTCTGCTAATTAACTCAAGCCCACTAACGTAAAATGGCAAAACTCCTTTCTCCTTTTCATCTAGTATGAATTCTATCAAATTGTAGGTAATACCAAAACCTAATTTATGGGCAGCACAATTAATCTCAGCTCCTACTGGTTTTGGAGAATTTTTCAGGTGGCTTAATATGAGGTGTCATTAGAAAAGTTTTTGGAACAAATTGACAAATGAAACAGTAATAAGTCACCAGGACCAGATAGAATCCACATAATAGTTCTGAAGGAACTCAGATATGGAATTTCAGAACTGCTGACTCTAGTTTGTAACCTGTAATTTAAATCTGCTTCCTCCAAATGACTGGAGGATAGCTAATGTGGCAGCAGTTATTAAAATCAGCTCCAGAGACTATCCTGGCAATTACAGGATTACTGAAGCCTGACTTCAGTATTGGGCAAATTGTGTTGAAGCTAAAATAAAGAGCAGAATTGTCAGACGCCTATATGAACACAGTTTGTTGAGAGAGAGTCAACATGGTTTTTGTAAAGGGAAATCATCACTCACTGGTCTACTAGAATTTGTTGAGGGGATCAGCAAGCAAGTGGCCAAGAAAGATCCAGGGGGTATATATTGCATTTATGTCTTCAGAGAGCCTTTGATAATGTCTCTCACCAAAGGCTCTTAAGCAAAATAAGCTGTCATAGGATAAAGCTCCTCTCATGGATTGGTAACTGGCTAAAATGTAGGAACAAATAGTTTTCCAAGTAGAGAGAGGTAAATAGTGGTGTCCCCCAGAAATCTGTACTGGGACCAGTTCTAGTCAATATATTCATAAATGACCTGGAAAAAGGAGGTAGTTGTGGGGCAGGCTTTGTTCTCTCAGGCAGAGTAGAATGTAGCCTGCTTAGTGATTAATTGTTCCCATTGTTATTGAATTTCTCCAGGAATATAGAACAGGTGTAAAAGCTTTAGTGCTCCTTTACATGTCCAGTGTGGTGCAAAGGACAGAATGGCCTTATAAATGGTTATGGTCTTTAGTGATTAGAACTGAACTATATTTTTGGACTGAAAAATGTCCTATCAGAATGTCCTTCGTAAACCTCTTTGCTACTGACCTATCTAGAGATGGTTAGTAGCCAATATAATGTGTGAGTCTGTTTCCATAGCCTTCACTGGCTGTTCAGTTGCCTTTGAGGTAACCCTGAACATATGGGTGTATATATTTGTTGTCTAATAACTTGAAATAAAGGGTCACACATTACTATTAGGAAAGGGGGTTGGTGATTTTTCTCCAGTGTCCCCCACTCCCAATCTCCATTTGTTGTACTGTAGTTTAAATAAAAAATTGAAACCAGTATGATGATATTGCAGCATTTGACACACAAAAGATGCAGAATTTTAAAATACTGTGCACAATTTTTTTTAACTTTTTGGCACAGACTTCTCCCCAGAGTATATAGTAGACCACAAACTGAATACGAGTTGTCAGTGTGATTAGTCTTTTTTGGAGCTGCATATGATTTGGGAAGGAGGAGGAGAAAGGGGCGCTTCACTTTGTTAGAATGTTGCTGCATCTTGATCACATTGGGGAATAGCTCATCAGGTCGACATCCCTTCCTTCAGTTGCCCGCAGTCACTCTTCCTCTTTCTTTGGGCCTGCTTTGTGTTCGTAAATCAACCCTCCAGCCGGGCCTCTGTGCGTTTTCCCTTTCTGGGGTATTGAAGCCATCTCCTTCAGCCATCCTAGTCATTCTTCCCATTCACTGCTGCGTAGTGCTGCTCCCTCGTGGCTGTCAGGGAGTTTAGGCCTGTCATCTAATCTGGGTTCCAGCTCAGGGATCCTCTAAGTAAGCAGTCAAGACCTGTTCCCCCTTAGGCCTTATTGCCTTTCCCTGAGCTTTGTCCTACCTTCCTGGCTTCCCCTCCTTTCTGGTTTGCTGGCCTAAACCTACATCCCTTTTCCTAGGGAGTGACTGCAGAGTTTTCCCGCTGTCCCCTTTCATCTTACAGTTCTCTGTCTTTGTAAATCCTAGGCCTGTGGTCACCAACCAGTAGATCGCGATCTACCGGTAGATCTCAGGGGCTCTAAGAGTAGCTCTTGAGCCCTCTCTGAACTGCACACCTGCTCAGTACATTTACATTAGATTTCCTCATTTGAGGAGCAGCTACTCACCGAGCAACAACACAGGTGAGTAGCTGCGAGGAATGGTGGGAGCTGGGAGGTCGGGAGGGCTGAAACACCCCAGCAAGCTGACTGTGGCTTTCAGCTGAAAGCGGCTGCCCCACGCACAAGCTGATCAGTGGCTTCTCCTCTGCGCCTGTCCATGTGGAGCTTGGTGCACTCTGGCTGAGCGCCATGGCCAGCTGGCTGGGCAGCCACTTCTCTTCCCTCCAGCCCAGCTGCCCTGCGCTCAGCCCAGGGAGGCTGCATCTAGCTCCAGCTGTGCTGGAGCAAGCTTCCCAGGCTGAGCGCAGGATCACAGATGCCCATCTGATGGACTGTATATGACTAGCAATCTCAGACTACAACCCAGACTTCACACAGGATCACAGATACCCATCTGATGGACTGTATACGACTAACAATCTCAGACTACAATCCAGACTTCAAGATGCTGGCAGATACTGTT